GGACATGCAAATAAAGTGTGAAAATAAAATATTTTTTTATTTCAACACAGATTATATTATGTTGCAAAGTACTGTCTTGAAATTAAGTGAGACTTTTAGAAACTGGAGAAGCTATCATTTAAAGAAAAAATGGTTAAAAACATTTTGAGAAGAGAGTTGGATTCAGTTCTGAGTCAGCCCAATTACATTTAGAAATTACAGTGTGGAGTTAGTACAGTAAGGAATTATTTTTACAAATCAAGGACAGAATCTAAACAACATAGTTTGGGAGAAGTCTTTTTAAAATATATGTTCTTTCCCATAATTGTTTTTCTCTTTTTTAGTTTAGATATATTTTCTACCTTCTTAATAGAAAGAACCTTTATTGCAAAGAAATATTATAGGTGCTAATAAAAAAAAAGTTCAGAGGGTTAAATAACACCGTCATGGTATATAGTGTTCGCTGTAGCAACTACTCAGCACTGCACTCCCTTGTAAATAACAATCTCATGAAATTAACACATGATATATCAGGTGAAGAAATTACATTTTGGTGGTAGATTAGGTGTCACTTGGACCATACTCTTTGGGAATACCAATTGATTTAACTGTAATTAAAATTTAGTGTCTCTCTGTGTGCATGTATGTGTTTGCTAACTATTTAATTTGGGCACACATACATACTAAATGTATGTACAAATAAATGTGAAGGGCATAAATGAGTGAGAGATACAAAGTTATGAAATGGAGATTGCTGATGGATTTATGTGGTGGTGGGAGTATAAACATACATACATACATGCAAGCAATCTCCATTTCCTGTTTTTACTATTAAGACAATATTAAAATAACAAAACAGTAAAGGGAAAACACAGCATTTATCTTAATATATGAAATTATCAATATGTTAAGCTACGAATTTGCACAAAGGATAGATTATACTCTACTCTCTGAAAACCAGGCTGAAGGCTTCTCTTACTTGTAGCCCAGTTGTCGACATACCACAGCTGCATCCTTATCAGACCATCCATCATCACAAATTGTCCCCCACTGGCCATTAATATAGATCTCCACTCGGCCCTCTTTCTTATTCTCACCATCCATCAATCTGATAGGAGGCCCTGGGAATAAATTAATAACTATTGATATAGCAGCAGCAAAATTCTCATAACATTTAAGGAAAGTTGTTAACTAGGAACAAACATTCCAATTCATATAGCCACATGGAAAAAATATGTTCCCTGTGGGGGAAAAAAACCTGAATTCTGAACAGGACATTTTCAGATCTATAACTTGGTCCAGTTGCTTCATCTATATGGCCTGGACGTTCACATAAGAAGACTCTCAAAATTCCCACATTAACAGGAATTGAAAAATAAAATTGGTTCCATTATATTTTTTTCTTTCTGAAATTTCTTTATTATTTCTTCAGAATAATATAGTTATTTTGAATTTATTATAATTCTTTATTATTTCTTTCAGAAATAATCTAGCAGACTATCAATACCCAAAAGGTTTTGTAGTCAAAGCAATCATCATTACACAAGGAAATTTTAAACATAATTAATGCATTATACTGTACTCATATGCTTCCTCAAAAATCTAGCAGTAAAGTATTATAGGAAAGTCTTCCGCTACTAAGATTTTATTATATTTACAAAATTAAAAATTCAAATTACTTTTTAAATAGAGCATTAACAAAAACAAACAGAAATTGTTCCATTGACTGAGATATCAAGGATATACCCTTTTAATGTTTTCTTTTACTCTGAAACCTGTTACATATGTTTTATAAGACCATTTTATACATGCCTACTCAAAAATAAGTTCTAGTAAGTATTCTCAGATAAATACATACAGCAGAGACTGTGAACACATTTCAGAAGCTGATGGATTTCAGTTCTCCTGACTATTATTCCTGACTTTTATCATGATCCTGCTGGCTGGATTGATATCTGGACTCCAATAATATCAGGAAGTCCAAGTTTTTCACTCCTGGAATACTAAAATATCTTTACTAATAGCTCATGATGCTACTACTATTACAGTCACACTACACTGCTCAAAACAACACTTATGCATGCCAACATATGGCCACCATGAAGTGAATGTGGTCTCAGTTATGGTTATGGATAACTACTTTAATTCAAAAAGATATACTCAGAGCACAATCATAATACACTAACGTAACCGTATAAATCAGCTCTAATAGGAAATAACTCTTTACCCAGTTCATATATGTTAAGCCAGAGCAAAACTAATCAGCCTTTTTGGAAGA